CCATTTATTGAACCAAGGCATAAGGATGTTTAGGTGAGTTTGGATTTGATGGCTGGCAAGGATAGGGTTGACCCTTGAGGCAAGTATGGCTGTGTCATCGGCGTAAGTTCCGATGAGAACAAATATCCTTAAAAATGGATTTTACCACATAAATGACCTTAAAAATTTCGTCTTTATATATATATTTTTTGTATACAATTTGGTGTTTTAATTTACAATTTATAAATAAAATACAATTATTATTTATTATTTTATTGAAAAAAAAAWACTGAAAATTGGAAAAAATGACTTGATGCTGCTATGATGTTGACACGCATATGTTTTTGAGTAGTATTATTCATTCTAAACATATAGGTTATAAAATATACATTAATAATTACGCTAAATTTGTATAAGTATAGTATATTCAACAAATATGCATTTAAAATCAAAACAATGACCTAATAATTCTAAAAATGAAAAAATAACTCTAAAATATTTAAAAAAGCAATTATAAAATGTTTAGCTTTGAAACACTCGTGTTACGTGAAGCGAATTAATATGTACTTGGAAAGCATTGTCTAAGATCAATCAAAAAAATAGGTATGCAATTTGCATTTAAATCTGGGCCCTAATCATTATTATATTATAGTGGTATATTCAAATAAAGGAAATTATTAGAAATTTAAAAGTGCTGTATCAAAAATGTTTCTATTTTTATTTCAAAAATGTCCTCTTAGACAGGGTTGGGCAAGATACTCAAAAAAAGTATCATGATACATGCATTTAGTGTATCAAGATACAAGATACATTTTGAATGTAGAAAAGATACAAGATACATGATACTTTCATATTTCTAATCGAATTTTATTTACTATTCAATTTAAAACGTCTATACATAATTCACTATACTGTCAATACATAAATACTTATAAAGTCATAATTATATTAAATAATATAATAAGTTAATAGGTGGTACACATTATAAATTTATAAMTAATACAGTAATACATCAGTATTATAATATAAATACACCAAACTTAATAGATTGCATAAAAATTACATCTTAATTTGTATACATTTCAGTTAAGTGCTTTAGTGCTTATCTGTATAACTGTAGATACGTATACCGTATAATGGGCTACGGGCATACGGGTACCTTAATTTAATTTAAAGTTTTTCAAATTATCATACAGCTTTAAAAGTTATACAATTGTGTGGTACATTAATTGTTCGTTATCGTTAATTTCAACTCGATTGCATCTGTACAATTTTTCATAAAAATACAATCCGTGACGAAATTATCTAATAACGAAAATCGAAATGTCTTGGCACTATTCAGTACACATTTTTACAACAAAAGTATCTTGTATCTTTTGGCAAAAAAGATACAAGATACTGGTATAAAATGTATCACGATACAAGATACAAGATACAATTGCATCATTGATACGTATCTTTGATACTGCCCAACCCTGCTCTTAGAAATGTATGAAATGTATTATTACTATACCGCTAACCAATATCGTTTCGAATTTTTCTTTTTTTTTGAAGTTATTTATAAAATGTTTTGTTGTTATTCTTAACGTATGATTACACATTGTGATTAACAATTAAACATTATACAATTAAAATTTAACGGTTCGTGGCGTTTACGACCAGATCATATTAAAAGCTATAGTGTTAAATTGACTGGTATTAGTGGTGTGGCTGACCGACCAATCAGAAAATATTATATTGTGGTTATGGTTAATACTTTTTATTGTCTGAAACCATGAATAGAAATACGTTGTCATTTATTCATGTTTTTCATATCATAATATACGTTTCACGCGGTCTTTATGTTTACGATATAATGCGAACTTCTGTGATTTTGTAAAATTAGTTAATCGTTATACCACAATAATAATATATAAGCAAATATWAGCCGACCAATTACTATTTGACTGTTATGTGACTTTAGTATAAATCTTTAAAAATAAATAAATAATAACACGTTTTAAATATTACTCTTGTTATTAATACTGTTATCGTGATGAGAAATATTAAGATGTATAGATACTTCCCTATCACGCATATTAAAATTAACATAAGTACACATTTTRATCAATGTGCATGCTTTTGATGCACAAATATAAACTTTGTATCTTAAAAAAAAAAAAATAATAATACAAAAATGAATAACATATTATAATATGTTGAATTATTCTTTGTTATTTTCGTAAGATAACATTTTGGTTAACAAAACATACTYGAAAAAAAATCACCATGAACTTTTTTCCATCGTTTTCTACATATCTGAAAGCGAATGACTGAACCTTATACGTATAAAAGTCTTATAATAATTGCATCAATGCACGTTTYGGTTTTCCTTTCTTTTTTTTCAATTTCCTCAGTCACMCTTTTGAAGGAATACATTTCTCCGAAAACACTTAATGATAATTCTGTTATTTAGACATTTCGTACATAACAACGAGATGAA